TCAACCTCCCAACACCTCTAAAGGTCAGTTTTTTACATGTTATACTTGGATGTTTCAAAGGGTCCTAATATACTATGACGTGTGTAACAGTCCTCACAAAAATTATACACACTATATTAGTAAATCAGTGAACAAAGGGGTGATTTTATAGCCTATTTCACAAAGGAATCTTAGTAAACACAATTTGAAGCTTAAACAAAAAAAAAACCCCAAACAAACAAACACCATCTTCTGGTCTCTCAATTAAAAAGTAAATAAATGCAATAAACGCATTTTAGATAATGTCGACCAGCTTCTTGAAATCACCAATGCTCCAGTCAGTATACAAAAAAAGATCCTGGACAAAGTGATTCATCTGATCCACACAGCAAATTTTGCTGCTCTGCAGTTTTGTCATTTAAATTTAGATGAATTTAGGTTGCTTCAGTGGCCACAGGGTATGTTTCTGCTGCATGACTGATGCTTGCAGAGATAAGAAGAGTTTCTTCTGGCTTATCTGAGGCAGTTTTTTTTTTTTAAAGTTAAGTTCCTCCAAGCTTTTACTTCTCCTCCTCTTACCTGCACCCTGTACAGCCTGTCCCGCTAAGATTTTTGCAGCGCTATTTCACAAACCTGTTCTGTCCTATTTTCATTGCTTTCCCATGACACCTGAGAGCCATTCATCATCTTCACCATTTCATCCGACAGCAGCCCTAGTTCACTTACCACTCTTCTGGCCCACTTTCAAAGGTCTTCTGTGGCTTTCAAAGACACTTCCTTAATAGGATCATCCTTCCTCCATGCTGTTTCATTTTTTATTTTTACAGCCACAGATGTTTGGATACACATGAAAACAGCATAATGCGTAGCACAAAGAAGGATATAAAAAGATTATTGTGCACTTTTCTAACCCTACCTCTTGGCATTGTACAATAAATAAATAACACAACATGAATTAGACATTCAAAGTGTGTTCTCAGCATGAGGCAGAGAGGCGAGCTTATTTGGATCCATGAAAAAGCAGTTAGTTATTTTGTCCTGCTGCACCAGCACCCCTCCTCTGCTGGCTGCAGCCCAGCCTTGCCATGGCTGAGTAGAAAGAGGCTTATTTATAGTTGAACTAAAAACCTACTTTGAGACTTACTGTATTTTCTCAGGCAAAGATGGATTTTATTAATTTCTAATGTGTCCATACAGTACAACGTTAATATATTAGACTTTTCATTGAAATTGACCCTTTATTTAACTACGTTTCTCTAAATAATCATGAATATATCCCCAGAGCTGGTGCTAAAGGGATAAAAAATGTATAGAGTTGGCCAGCTTTTAGTATACTGTGGCTGTGTTTTTATAACCCATGTTTTTCCCCTTTACAGGCTGTGAGCCGATCACTCTACGCTATCTGGAGTGGAGAAATCCAGAGTCCATTATCCAGGTGGTCTTCTCCTGTCTGGGCATCCTGGTAACATCATTTGTTACCTTCATCTTTGTCTTATACCGCGACACACCAGTGGTCAAATCCTCCAGCCGGGAGCTCTGTTACATCATCCTTGCAGGGATCTTCCTGGGCTATCTGTGCCCTTTCACTCTCATCGCTCGACCCACCGTGGCCTCTTGCTACCTCCAGAGACTCCTCGTCGGACTCTCAGCTGCCATGTGCTACTCAGCCCTGGTAACCAAAACCAATCGCATCGCTCGCATCCTGGCGGGCAGCAAGAAGAAGATTTGCACGAGGAAGCCGAGGTTCATGAGCGCTTGGGCTCAGGTGGTCATCGCCTTCATCCTGATAAGTGTCCAGCTCACACTGGAAATTACCCTCATCATCATGGAGCCTCCTGAACCCGTCAAATCTTACCCCAGCATCAGAGAAGTCTTCCTGATCTGCAACACCAGTAACCTTGGTGTTGTAGCTCCACTGGGCTACAACGGCCTGCTGATCATGAGCTGTACCTATTACGCCTTTAAGACCCGCAACGTCCCTGCAAATTTCAATGAGGCCAAATATATTGCCTTCACCATGTACACCACATGTATAATCTGGCTGGCGTTTGTGCCAATCTACTTTGGCAGCAACTACAAAATCATCACTACGTCCTTTTCTGTGAGCCTCAGCGTGACTGTAGCTTTGGGGTGCATGTTCACTCCAAAGATGTACATCATTATCGCCAAACCTGAGAGGAACGTGCGCAGCGCATTCACCACCTCCGATGCGGTGCGCATGCATGTCGGCGACGGTAAAATTGCTTGCCGAAGCAACAGCCTGTTGAACATGTTCAAGAGGAAAAAGAACACTGGAAATGGCAGGTAGGTTCATTAATTGAGTCTGTGAGTCCTGCTCCTGAGGCACCTCAGGGATGCTGGTTTTACTGTAATTCCCTCTCAAAGGGAACGTGATGTCTTACTGTATTCACTTTCCTAGGGACACCTGTTGTAAACTGTGACGGATATAGGTCAGTACCCAATTCACACAGCCAGTTCAGCCCTTGATCTGTTATTAAAATTAAAACAAGCATCTCTGTGTGCTAAGGGATGGCAAATTAGATCCCTAATACAGAATGCAGGGTTTCTCCAGGGCTTCAATAGCATTTAAGGTGTTTCTTTTGAGATGTTATATTCAAAACCTGTAGATACCCTGTAATACTGACAATATTTTAAAAAAAATCAAATCAAATAAAAATAATGACATTAGTTTTTTACATGAAGCAGAAATGCTCTTTCTGTCTCCACTTTTCTGGGTTCCTATGAAGTAACAGCCGTCTTTATTTTGTTCATAGTTCTAATGGAAAGTCTGTGTCATGGTCTGAACCAGGTGCAAGACATCCTCCAAAAGGGGATCACATGTGGCACAGACTGTCAGTGCATGTGAAGAGACAGGAAGCAGGTTCCAATCAGATGGCTGTCATCAAACCCTTAACTAATACCTACCATAACACGGGCCTGGAATTCTCAGACCTCAGCACTAAGACTTTGTACAATGTGGCTGAGGAGGATGAGAGTGACCCTGTCCATTATAACTCCCCTGACACTCCCCCTATGGTGGCCCACGGGCAAATGCCTGCCAGTGGGCTGAAAAAAGATGTGCACGAGGAAGTGGAGCTCTATTCCCCCGAGCCTTTGCAGCAAAATAGCATTATCCCCCCCAAACATGTCGTGATGGACCGCCTGCAAGAGGAGGGGGTGGTGAGCAAGTTCAACAGTGACATGCCTGAGATCCGTGATATGATAAGCATGCCTGAGGCTGTCAGTGGTGGGATGCCAGTGTACCATCAGGCTCACCTCATCCAGCAGGAGCCTGTCCTGCCTATGCAGCTCGACCCATTTGATGAGGAACCTGTCTTCCCTTTAGAGGAGGAAGAAGAGGAGGAAATGAATGAGCAGTTTGGCCTTCTCCACGGCTACATGTACAACAACTCCCAGATTCATGACGAGGAGGACTTTGTTGAGGTCAAATTAGCAACAGAGGACTCTCTGGCTCTGATGCCCCCCTCGCCTTTCCGTGATTGCACCGGTGCTCTAGTAAGCCCCTTTCCCAACTCGCCAGTGTCCGAGTCGATTTTGTGCACACCTCCCAATGTCACATACGCCTCCGTCATCCTCAGAGACTACAAGCAAAGCTCCTCAACTCTGTGAGGGCACGCCCTAAATGTTGACGCTTGTACTATAAGTTTTTATGTGTTGTATATGATTTTACATAAGGAAAAAGTGATCCCGTGGTCTGTCAAGTCATTTTTCACTCCTAATAGCTTTTAAATGATAAGGGTGAGACATACTGTAAATTTCTAATATAAGCTTTTAGAGACAAAAACAACTGTATATATATATATTTATGAAATATTGTTTGATAAATGTAGATTAGGTATCAATCTGATTAGTTTTTGGACTTTAAAGGTAACTTAATGAGCATAGCTAATATAAAATTATTCACTTTAATAATAAGGAAATTTGTTTTGTGTGACACATTGCGTGTCATGACCTTTGTCGGGCAAATGTAGAGGTTTAAAGCAAGAGTTGCTCTTTTAAAAAAAACTCCCTCATTGACTTTCTTGGCGAGAAATAGAAAACTAGGTCAATGTCACTCTCGTATATGTTTCTAGCTGCTCATAGTAGCTTCGTATCTAGTATACGGACATAAAAGTGGCATCCATCTTCACAGCTAAGAAGAGTTACACCCCCAGAACTATAAAACTATCTACTTAAGCTTGAAGTGCAGGGTAAAATGTTAATAAATGCCAACTTTATTGTGAAAAAAGATATTATATTGTGAATCTCTGATGGATACAGTACTGCCAAACAATTGCACTGTACCTTGAATGTAGCAGAGGACAAGTTCAAGTGCCACGTTTGTTTTTCTTTTGTACATTTATCTTATTTATATGGTCTTGAGAGGCAATTTGAACCAGTTTTAAACTTGTATGTTTTATAAATAGACATCCGCTTTCAGAACTCTATATTATTGTATTGTGAATGTATGAATTGTGTATCTTATTTTGGTATTCTATATGAATTGTTAGTATTAAAGAAGAGAGTAGCTGTTTATGCTTATATTGTGTGTGATTGGTTGTGTACAACAATCCATTTCCTAAATATTTAGACTTTAACTTCCTATCAAAATTGTATAGTGTAATAAAGTGATACTATTTGCATTAGTTATACATCGATATAAGCTATATGAAGTTCAGTGTAAAATATATCTACAGTTTTGAAATGGTAGTTACTGTAGACGACAATTTTGAAGGGCACTTGTTTGATTTGAGTACATTAAATATTTTTTATGCTTTTGTCTTTCATGTTTTTCAAGTTGAAACATTAGGTGGCTCTGTGCTCTTGGCGTGGTTGCTAGTGATTTATAAATCAAAGGTCAGCTTTTTATTGCTCTGGTTTGAAGGAAGAATTTCAAAACAGGGACACCGTAGGAAGTAGTGAGTGACACAGGGAATAACGCAGAGTGTTGTAACACTGTTATTTCTACAAATTGTTATTTTACTTTAAAACTCTGTGTAAATGTGACCTAGTTTTACACAATTATTAGGAAAATATTTTATCTGTCTCGATGCCTGTCAGCTCGTGGACCGCAGCATGGGAAGGATTTCGGTGACATTATCTACAGAGAAGCTTTTTAAAGTTTTAGTCATTGGGGATCTGGGGGTTGGGAAAAGCAGCATTGTCATGCGTTATGTTAATAAACGCTTTGATGAAACATACAAAGCATCCATTGGAGTTGACTTTGCCCTAAAGACAATTGAATGGGATCCCAAGACAGTGGTGAGACTACAGCTTTGGGATATTGGAGGTGAGTTTCAAAACTATAAAGCAAATTCCTGTACAAAAATACTGGATGAACAGGCTAAATCTAATTTTATGGCATCTGTTATAAACTCTGTAGAAACTGTACTGCGACACTTCTGTGAAAACACGATTTAAAAAGTTTCTCCAAAGCTTTTATCTGTAAACGTTTTAAATGTAGTAAAGTAATATCTCGATACATTTATTTATATATAATGTGTATTTGAATAGAGTATACCAGAGATACACTCACTAGCCACTGCATTAGGTATACATGTTCTACATAATGTCTAATTGGCATTGCAGCAACTCAGTGCATTTAGGCATGTGAATGGTAAAGATGAACAGCTGAAGTTCAAACTGAGCATCAGAATTGGGAAGAAAGGTGATTTAAATGACTTTTAATGTAGTACGGGTGTTGGTGCCAGACAGGCTGGTCTGAGTATTTCAGAAACTGCTGATTTACTGGGATTTTTCCCCAAAAAACATCTATAGGGTTTAGGGAGAATGGTCCAAAAAAGAGAAAATGTCCAATGAGTGGCAGTTCTCTGGGTGAAAATGCCTTGTTGAGGACAGCAGAGAGGCCAGACTCCTCTGAGCTAAGACAACAGTAACTCAAATAACCACTTATTACAACCATGATATTCAATGAATGAGCAATACATCAAACCTTGAAGCAGGTGGGCTTTAGCAGCAGAAGACCAGAAGTGTAAAAACACTGAAGTTACAGTTTGCACTGGCGCACCAAAATTGGACATATTGGAAAAACATTTCCTGGTCTGATGACTTTTGATTTTTTCAGCAACCTTTGGAAGGTAGGTACAGAATTTGGAAATCTGGCTCCATCCTGCCTTTTCATCAACAATTCAGACTGGTTGTGGTTACTGTGGGTTATTTTTTGGCACATTTTGGGCCTCTTAGTTCCATTTTTTAAACCCCACAGCCTACAGAGGATTGTTGTTGACCATGGCCACCCCTTTATGTCCACAGCGAACCCATCTTGTTACGACTGCTTCCAGTCACAAATGTCACAAATCCAGTAGCAAGGTGTACTTAATGAAGTGGGTGCTGAGTGTACATTTAAATTTAAAATGATAGAAAGTACACTTATTTGCCTAAAATATATTTTAAATAAACAAGAACTCTGGAGGAAAGCATTTTATTTGCACATAATATTCCAAAATTGCACATTTTTTAAAATTCATCCAAATCCATTTTTTCCCCTGTGGAAATTATATTTTAGTTCTTTTTTTGGTGACACAACTTTTATACACATTTTTAAAGTTAAATTTAAGTTTAAGTTTGCTGAATGCTTTAGTGCCTGGAAACTCAAGTCAAACTGCAGTGGGGTTTTTATTTTTTTTGATCCATTCTTTACTCAGAGCTAATTTTAATCCTGTGTCCATGGAAACATATGATTTTATTTCAGAAAATTATCAGTAGTCTCTCAGTTCTTACATAACATTTAGGTTGCAGTCTGATTTGACCTGATACTTCAGACCAAAAAGAAATAATAGCTGCCTATCCATGAGAAAAAAAAAGACACATTCCTACTTGCAGCCAGGTTTTATTAGAAGTTGAGCAAAAGGATCCATTACACACATAATTTTATTATCCCTCAAGGCCAAGAGAGGTTTAAGAACATGTCCCGAGTGTACTACAAAGAGGCGATGGGAGCAGTAGTGGTCTTTGACATTACAAACAGCTGCACCCTGGAGGCTGCCTCTGAGTGGAAGCAAGACCTGGATACCAAAGTGCGTCTTGACAGTGGCCAACCGATCCCTGCTGTCCTGCTGGCCAACAAATGCGACCTGACGGGGAGGGATGGAGCCTTGGTGTCCTCTCTGGACAGCTTTTGTAAAGACAACAGCTTCCTGGGCTGGTTTGAGACTTCTGCTAAGGTTTGTGCAACCATAGAAGGGGAATATGTGCCTTCAGTAACAGTCAGTGTTGGGTGTTTAGAGGTAATAACGTTAGGATATTCAGCAGATCATTAACTGATTATCTGAGGGATTGGATTCTGTTTGACTAATTTAATAGATTTTATATCTAAAAATATTCATATTGCAAGTAAGCATACTGCATGAGATCCTGCATTAGACTTGCATGAGGGTATGCTTTATTGCATGTGTGAACTTTATCACTGCAGCTACTGCATATAGCCTGTTCATATAAATATGTTAAAATATTAAAACACGCAGCCAAAAACTTAACCCGGCGGATGTTCTAAATCGTGTTCTTCCCTGCTTTTTTTTTTTAGGAAGATATAAATATTGAAGAGGCAGGTGCCTTCCTTGTCAAACAAATAATGCTGTGTGACACCAGCCTGTCCGCTGAAGAGCACCACTGGGATAGGATCAAAGTGAACCAGACTCCCACGGAGAGTCAGAGTCAGTCACTGTGCTGCGGGAGATCACTGTTCTGAGACAAAGAGCCAAACTAAAGCTACTGCTGGTTAAACAGAACCTGACCTGTTTGTGGTGCTGGGACATGAATCCACAGCCGCCTCAGTGAAGCTATGACAGAAAGCCACCAAGCTTCAGTAGCTTTATATTCATATTTCTGCTTTGCTGATTTTTCTCAATAATCTATGGACTGTGTGGGCTGCCTCATAAACACCTCTGTGGAGACAATGAGCTCATTCCTCTGATAAACCACTGATCCAGTCAGGATAATAAACAGATCAGCATGATACACATCCTGCTGGGAAAAGCCTGTGACACTCACTGCACAACCAAGACGTGCTAGTGAATGACCCACTATGATGAGGAACCACAAGCTATCTAACGTTTATTCCCATGCAGAAAAACAGCAAAAATGTATATTTCATCAAATAGTCCTCATCAAATGACACTTTATTTGATTGCAGCTTCCACTGTGCCTTCGTCTGTTATGCAACCCATGCATATAATTATCTCTTAATCACTTTTGCAGTAAGATGAGCTAAGACCCATGCACAAGCAAGGCATCTCAGATTGATATGGCCAAAAGCAGAGAAAAGCTATCAGCATGACCTGATTTTGGTGGAGAAAAGAGATTTGTGAAAATGCCCAGAAAGTACACAGTGTCCTATACTGGGAGCAGAGCATTTAGCATCTATCTAACAAATATCAGAAGAGTGAGTGTATGTGACTGTATGTGTCAATGAAGTAAAATATCAGCCACTAAATTCTGGCTGAGATTGAAATAAAACCATTTGGAAGTAAATGACAAGCTCATCCATTCATCGCACACCCTCGACAGGTTACCAGGCTTATAAGTTCATTATTTCGTTAGTTTAGTTATTGCTACACTGCCTAAAGTAACTGGTTAATTCTACGTTGATCAACTTAACAAATATATTTCTTGCCTCTTTTTCATGGACAGTTTGTTCATTTAAATCATGTCACCATGACCTTTTTAAAGGCTTGTAAATTTTATGCTTTAATCAGTTACAAGGTGTTTTAACAGAATACGTTTGAAATAATAACTTTGAATTGAGTGGTTTGTTTTAATGCTATTAATGTGAAATTAAAGTGCCTTTAAAGTCGGACATTTAAACCAGTGCAATGTACGATACCTTGTCTTGCTCATTGACATGTTTTGTGTTGCTCAGGTTATTTTTGCACACCAATCTGTTCTTTGCTGTCCTGTAGTTTTACTTTTCGGTGTCCTTGCAGTGCAGCAAGGGAACTGTTCTACATCCTGCCGCTGGTTACCTTTTCAGAGTAGCATTTGTCCAAATTCAGCCACTCTCTCCAGATGTGTCATGAGAATGGATTTAACCTTGGAGTATAATCACATAATGTTTTGTTATATCAGCAGTTGTTGACGTGGCATTAATTTGCATTACCATAAATTTCCCCCAAAATAGATTAAAAAGTTAAAAATGGGCACCATAATTTCCCATATTTATCCAAACCCCATCACAAATTCATCTGATCTCTACATGCTGATCAAAGGAGTTGCAGCATAAAAGCCAGCAAGGTAGTTTACCTCATGTGGCAATTGTGCCTGAGGCAAAACGATGGAAGAAGTAACACACAACTGCTAATTTTGGATGTATGTCCCAGTTTCTGGAGACCTACATTCAGAAGTCAAAGAGGGATGCTGGCCCCAATACTTTTTCACATCGGACACAAAAGCCCCGCTCCTTAACTTGTTTATAAATATGACAGTTTGAATGGATGGGAGCCTCACTCCCAGCAACAGATCCCATCACTTGTGCATTATTGATATTGCCCTGTTTTATCAGCCCTCCGGCGTGCATTTTCTCTGGCAGCTTCGTTCATATATTCATGACTGCATGACAATTTCAATTTAGTCAAACTTGTGAATAGGTTTATAAAGCGTAAAGCTTTGTGCATAGCTTTGCTGTGCCTCTCACTGTCTCCCATTGTGCCTTGTGTGACCCATTTTATGATGTCCTGTGTGGAAAAAGTCTTTGAATAGCAGACATTTGCAGACATTCTCCTGCACCTACATTATATATGTTGATGTGCCCGAGTCCATAAATGCAAGAAAAGAAATGCTAGAATATGAATGAACCTATACCCTTTAAACTGACCACGTCCTGAACCATCAAGGGGCTCCATGATGACGGTCTGGAATCCTTACGTTGCTGTCCATGGTTCTGAATTTTTGTCACAAGGCGAGTTCTCAAACACAACAAAATACAGATTTAGAGGTTAATAGTTTTGCTAGTAGATGACGCCATCTAGTGCACAAAATATACCTGTGCAAAGACACTTTGAGAAGGGACACAAAGTGTTTTTTTCTTTTGTGTTGCTGTCCACATCAACGCTGAGACAAACTGATTCTATCTGAAAATCCTGTTTCTGATTCTAAAGGGTTATTGGCAGTACTGAACCAGTCCTGTTTCCCCCATCAACCACCAACATGTTTTGCTTCATCGCATCATGTTTCTGAATCAGATTTTTAAATTTGTAGCTACATTTGCAGCATTTAAGTGTTATCTATAGCAGTTTAAAGGATAAGCTAATCAGATGTTTTGCATGTAATGATCTGCAAAATAACCAGTGCCAATGAAGCTACTACTTTTTTAAAAGCAATATTTAAAGTAGCATAAAATGCAAATACTCAACTTCTTCCACTTTGTGATCAGTGCTGTTTGTCAAATCCACAAACTGCACTGAAAATGTTTTTATTTATATTATTTGGTATGCATTCTTTTTTTTCCCCAGCAGTATGAATAATTGAAGTTCATACAGTTATGATAAAAATAAAGTACTCACTCTTTCTATTCTAAGGTTTTACATATCAGGACATTATAAATAATAATAATAATGTGGTCCTTCAAGTCGGGCAAGTACAACCTCAGATAAACAACACATGACATATTACACCATGCCCTTATTTAACAAGAATTAAGCCAAAATGCAGAAGTAGACATACATGCGAAGCACATTCTCACAGGTTTCATAGGAATTACCTCTATAAACACAGACGATTTGACAGAGACTACCTGAAAAACATGTAACATTAACATGTACTTTGGTGTAGTATGGATGGTAGTAGGAGGTGGGGGTCTTTATCAATACCAAACGCTGAAGCAGTATAAAAAAAAGAAAATACTAAAACACTGAATATAATACAGCATATTAGTACAAATACCTCATACCAACTGTCAGACACAGTGGTAGTGGGCTGATGATGGTCACTGAGTGAACTCCTCTTCATACTAAAGCATTTTGGAGTCAAATGTGAGACCATCTATCTGAAAGTCAAAGCTTTCTGAAATTAGGTAACGAAACAGGACAATGATCCAAAGCACAGCAGAAAAGAGACTGAGTTAAAAAATTAAGCTTAAGAAATGAGAATACAATATGTTTTGTTTTGTTTTTGCAACAGTCAACAGGTAAGAAAGTGTCTAGAAGTCTATTATGTGTAGACAAAACACTGTAATCTTGTGTTAGATGCTTTTTTTGTGCTTGAATGATTTATAAGTCTAAAATTACATCACTCTTAAAATGGCCAGGTACAAGAACTGGACTGGAAATGGACAAAAGAGCAGCAAAGCAAAGCTTTGACATTCAGAAAGTCTGAGCCATTGTAAAAATTTACAAGAAAATCTACTTGGAAGCAAAATATAGGAGCAGTTCAAGACTTTTTGCACAGTGTTGTATGTGATATATTATTGAAAGTCAATACAAAACCTTTGACAGAATTATATCCAGAAAAGAACCAAAACTAAACAATGTCTTAAATCGAATTTACAAAAAGGCTCTGACGTTTTAAACGTGTATTGCAAAGGCCATGGCTT